GTGTTCGAATTATATGAAAAAGCTCAATTTATATAATCCAAATAAAAGTTTCGATTTGAAATTAATTTTCGGGATCCGAACATCCCGAAAATCCGGATTATTGAACTTCGGCAATTCCTGATTTTAATAATACACTACTTAAAACGCACCTAAAACCAAGTCTATATCGAATGGGTTATACGCAGCGCGACAAAGAGAACATATATTTTTTTTATATTATTTTTCTTTATTCCGTCTGCAGCTTTTACTCGTAACATTTATTACATATTTATCGAAAACCATTTGTCCGAAATCGGACGTAGTACACCAGTAATACGTAGAAAAGAAAATAATGTTTTTTTCCTTTCACGAATAAAACAAACGGCTCGTTGTTAGAAAATCAAAAACTGTCGAGTGTATTACCAGTTAGAATATACGAGTAGTTTTAATAATAATTTGGTTATAACATACGAATACAAAGTACCTTACAAACATTTACTATCCGAAATATCATAAAAAGTTATCGAACACATTATTAAACGAAAATATAAAAACTGTATAAATAGGTCACGTACCCAACTCATCATCGTATTATATCAGTATAATGTTACACCAGAGGTTCCCAACCTTTTGAAATCTGCGACTGTATCCCCCCTCCTTACCACCATTATGACTACACTATGACTTTTGACGATCCTTTTGGATTACAATCGGTACCTTTCAAAAGTCGTTTGGATCTATACTACGATTATCTATCTATTATTATCATGACAAACATAAATAATAACGTTACATAATTAATTAATAGATACAAATTTACAATGATAAGCTTTACGATAATAATATACCCATTGAAACGATTAACGATGATACAACAATTTTAAACATAAAACGAGCAGCCTTATGTGTCGGCAACCTTTAATTATTTAATTATTGGTGAACTCCAAAGGCCTGGGAGAATTGTGAACACCGGTTGAGAAACATTGGACTTGTTTCTCAGCCATCATTTTGCGGTTGACGTATACTGCAGTTAATTATATTCGTATTTGCATATTTCCAAACGTTATCTTCTACAAAGCTAAAGTTTTTCCGTCATATATTTATTGTTCTATATATTTGACAAACGTTTAAAATGACCGGTTTTGAGATCCCGAGCAACGAAAGCGCGCAATTATAATAGTTTCACGTTCTGTTTTCTTTCTTTCTTTCTTCCTGTTTATCGAAAAACGTTCTTCGGTCCGGTATAAACGATTCGTAAAAGTTTCGTATAATAGCATGTGAAAATAAAGGGGTAGACCATAATTTGTTACGTCCGATACACTTCAAATAAATAGATAGCTTTTCAATATTTTGCTAATACATTTCTATGAGCGTACGCCTACGCTATAAAAAACGAATTTACCGCATGTTCATAGTACACAATTGGACAAATCGCATTATATCGATTTCATTTATTTCGACATAACTCGAAAAATAATGATTATGCCGGTGCGTGGAGAAAAATCATCGTCACCGACATAGAGTGTATTATATTATATTTTATATAATATAATACGTGCCACACCATCAAAACGATGGCATTGAAAGATGGCAAAAAAAGCACGTCATATCGAATTGAGCTATCTCATAATGTCATCGTATGTAATCGTTTGAGGAATTTATATTACATTTGAAATTGGTTTCAAGAACGCGGTGTGGTTTAAATTGATCTAGTTACACCATTCTTAACACTAAGTCTACCATGGTGCACGTAGCATTTTTTTTCGAGAGGGATTTTGTTTATAATAATTTCCTAGAGAGGGGATTTCGTATACATAATAAGTATGGTACTATCACTATTATTATTGAATAAATGATTTTTAATGAAATTAAATTTTAATTTATCCTGTGTTATAATGCATTATATTGATGTATGTAAAACTTGATTTAAAAATAAAAGTAGTACAGGGAGACATTTTGATGGTCGACCACCTAACCCTCCCCTCTCTTATTTGTATGCTACTGAGTCCACGCATAATAAAATAACAAGTAATATAACCAGATTTTGAAAGTTTTACTTTATTTGGTATAACTTTGTGATTGTAACGTTTACTTACTTCAAATTATCACGGAGTCATTAGCAACAGGGTAGTGACATTATATTAATGACATAAAGTTGTATTTATTTTTCAATCTATCAAACCTGTAGTTAAACACAAGCGATACTAAGTTTATAATTTGTCGATCTTTTCGGATAATCATAAACATAATAAGTTTACTTTCGGGATATACGGAACTTAATTTACTATGTTTGTCTATACCCGATTTTGTGTAAATAGCATCTGAATGCGAGTTAATACAATAATATTATCATATTGGTAGTTCAAAAATCGGCAGAATATTTGAAAGTATTATTACGAACGTAAAGGCCTAATATTATTTTACGTTGAAAATGTCAATTTTCTACTATTTTTTTTAACTATACTTTTTGAGTTTCAAAAAAAAAAAAAAAAAAACCGAAACTTACATATACAAACGTTATATTGTGTAATCATTTCCGTTTTCTCGGTTTCCGCTGGTTTTTAATAATTATTAAGAAAACTACAAGACAAATAAAAAAAAAAATGATCTATTCAATGTATTAACTAGTGACAATTTGATTTCCACCTCGGAAGTTGATAATCAGATCGAGATTTCTGAATTAAAAATTATTATTTTGTTAACTTTTAAAGCCGTAGGGTTCGCTTTGCGCCATCGCGCGGCTAATGTTTCGAAAAGTATCAAACGATATTAATTTTATTATTTTGAGACTGATTTTAGATAATTTAGACTGCAGTTTTAAATTAAGAAGGTCAGAAATAAATACAGGACACCACTTAAGTGACATTCATTTCGAATATCATAATATATCGGGTAAAATGTTTTTAATTCGTCTGTACTGAAAAGTACTTATACATGTATATATATATATAATGAATATAATTATTGGTGACCACATAATTATTGAAATAGTTAATGTTGGACATCTTTTAAATATCAATATTACTCGAATAAATTTAATAATAATGGTTTTAACTAATATTTATATGTAAAAAAAAAAAAAAACAACACAAAACAATAAGTTTATTGGCAATACGTTACGATATATTTGGTGTAAGGGTTTTAGTAAATAATTTAAGTACAATCAAGTACCTGCACTATTAGACTACTAGGAAGACGGTCTTCGCTTAAAACAATTAATTTGATCAACGGTACCTATAGTATCATAACTTCTTGCGAAGTTGATTCATTTAACACACAATTGGTATGCGATAAAATTCCTTCTTCGAATCGGTCATCCGCTTAATGAATATAGATGTCTTTTTTTGAAAATTGCGTAATACGTTATTGTTTTAATTGGGTACAAGTTATACAGGCAATAATTCGGATTCCAAAAATAGATGATTGGCCTGATTACTAATTAATACGTATGTATGCGTAGTATTCGAAGTATAATATTCGGAAACAAAAGACCGCCCGCGGTGCAAAGCTGTTTGGGGCATATAATAATATCAATTAATTTATATCAAGACATTTGTTATCATATTTTTCCCCGCGATAGACCATGCGTCTACCCGAAATCGTTAACAACAAGCCACGTCGTTAAGACGAAACGTCTATAGTATCGTCTCATAAATCGTAACTGTCAACGCACTTTATAACGATATTCGTTAAGAAGATAACGTAATAAGTAACACAGAATTAGTAAAAAAAAAAAAAAAAAGGGGGTTTTTCTAGTCTTCAATATTTTGATTTTAATTCTAACGTTCCGGTCATCTTACACGTAAGAATTTACAGTACACAAAATGTTTTTTTTTTTTTATCGTGAATCAGAAATTATCTCGGAGGATTTTAAGTGAATTTGATTTATATTTTTTTTTCTAATTAATATGAAATAATTTAAGTTTTAGTTTAAATAGATATTTTATCTTTCAGACATTGCTAGTTCTTAATAAAACAAACACCCTGTATATTCATCAGTTTTTTCGTCTTTCGACTTTGCTTCAATAATTAACTTTAAAAACCACCATGGCGTACAATACGAGCTAATAATATTATCCCTGCTTTTTTTTTTATAATTTGCTAAATCTGTTTTTTTTTTGTCAATTATTATTTTCAAATAGTGAATACACAGTAAATATTGAAGAATATAACTTATAAAGCACCAATATAGAAATGCGATTAATTATTTTAAGTTTCTAAAATTAAAGTTTTTTTTTTTTAATAATTCTTGGTAATATCATGTTTATATTAGTTTATGTGTTGATATTTGCCAAACGAGTTAAATTNGCGTACAATACGAGCTAATAATATTATCCCTGCTTTTTTTTTTTGTCAATTATTATTTTCAAATAGTGAATACACAGTAAATATTGAAGAATATAACTTATAAAGCACCAATATAGAAATGCGATTAATTATTTTAAGTTTCTAAAATTAAAGTTTTTTTTTTTAATAATTCTTGGTAATATCATGTTTATATTAGTTTATGTGTTGATATTTGCCAAACGAGTTAAATTAAATACTTAAGGTAACGTGATTTTATTTAGAATGTGTAATTTTTTACTCTAATCTTATGTAATTGTGATGGTTTGATGTGAGGGGAGTCGGGTTTTTTAAAATTCCATTAAACGTTACATAAAAACCTATACTCATGAAATATTTATTCCGATGTACTAAGAACTACTTTTTGAGAGGGAGAAAACTTTTTTAAATCGTTCCGTTTGATTGCCAACTAGCAAAAGAATAGCGGAAAAAATAATAGTTTATTTATATAATACACATGCAATCGTTGAAATTTGAATTTTAAGTAATTCAATCAATTTTTTTTTTTCGTCGATTTTAATTTACACTGTTTGAATAACAATTATTTAATCGTAAACAGCTGAACTATGCGATTGATTGAATATCGAATCTTACTGTAGCAATGGATGCAAATAATAATACGGTTTTCGCTATTTTATATTAAGTTTAATATATTTCCCGTTGAAATTCAATATGACAATCACAAAAAAACACACAGCGAATCTTCCTTCACAAAGGGGTTAGAAATGTCTAGAAACGAAAATAAAATAAAAATCCACCGAAACACGAGTACTAAAACGTTTTACAAACTGAGTGTTGGATACGTTCCAAAGTAACGGTGCACTCGTAATAGAAACCCTCAGTGCCGGCAATTCGTCATGGAAGAATCCAAGGTCGTCGGTCAAACCGGTACAGGGTATAACGTTTGCGTAACAATTGCGTCGACCGTTAGACAAAATACGATATTAAAGCCTAGGGTGACAAAAAAAAAAAAAAATATTAAACTAGGAATCTTCGTAGATAACATTATTATATAATTGCTGATTGACGAAAAAATAATCATTCTGTTTAATTTATCCTCGCCGGGAAAGCACCAATTTAATTTTTACGACTATACAAATTCGACATATTATTGTATTAAATCTATAGTATATAGGTATATACATGTTTAATAAAATGACGGGCTTGCAAATCTCTTTTGTCATATTTATGTTTGGGAATTGAAACCACTATTGCATTTCGATTTTTAAACGACAATAGATCTTAGCAAAAATCCATGAATAGATGGAGTTATTGCTAAAATAAATTTTACTAATGAATGACCATATAGTAAGTAACTACTAACTAAAACTACTACTACTTAAAAATATAAACACATATCGATTAGTGGTTTCAAATATTTAAATTCTACCAAAAATAATAAATACGGGTTTATCTACAATATTATGATATCCACTAACGAGTATAATTAAAACATTATAAAAAGAAAAAAAAAAAACTTACCTAGTGAATAATAAATATATTTTATCATAATATAATATGCACCGTGTTACTTATTTAAAAACAGTATTTCTACAGGCCTCGACTACCCCGTTGGTCACTGTAGTATGCAAAGACCTATTGAAAATAGCGTGCTGTGTGCGAAAAGTAATTAAGAAACTATAAAAAAAGACTATCATTCATGAATAGCCTACGACATGATATTATCTAGGTATTAAAACAATACGTAGTGAATTAATATATATATATATTGATATATTAATAGATCTTTGGTTCCTGCGAGGGTCTTAAGCCAATTTTCGGAATTTTTTTTAAAACATTTTTTCTCGTGGAAAAATGAATTGAGAATAAAAACATTTTTGGTCGAAATGACATAATTGTATGTGTCATCAAAATTAATGGGTTCAATGTATTAGTGTAGGTATTTAAAAAAGTTAAATCTGCTTGTACTGAAAACTTTCGGGGCTATTGGAAGCCACTCTTCCCTGGAACCAAAGATATAAGTAATCCGACAACTATTTCCCACACAATAATACAGTGGCGTAGTCAGGATTTTAAATCGGGAAGAGAGGCATGGCTATTAAAAACGGTGAATTGTAAACTAATTATTATTTATATTTAGTTATACATTAGAAAAAAAAGTAAGTGATTATTTTATAGTTAGTCAAATATAGCTGGAAGCGTCCTGGAGCTTTTTTCGTATATTTATTTATTAAATATTACGAATAAATGTCTAATTACATAAATTATTTACGTTCCTGAATTGTTTTTAAAATTTGATAATATTCGTTAACCCTAGTCTATTGAGTTTCTTTTCAATAATTATTGACAATTCCTCAGTCTATTTACAGTTGATAATGCATGTTCTGGTGTTACTGAAGTTACAAGTTGCAAAAAATGTATTGTATACACAGTTTTCATTTTATATTTGGCAGAATAATATGAACACCTTCATGATATTCTCAACGGTTTTGTTGCCGATTCAGGCTTTTCTGTTTTATCGTAGATACCATTGTTTTTCGATTAGTTTGGCCGCGTAATAAATTCAACAGTTAAGCTTTAAAACTGATAAAAGCATGTTTCTATTTGTTCATATTACAGTTAGCTGGTCGTGGCGGGTATGTCAAATAACGCGTTATCGATTTTCAAAATAATTACGAATTTTAAGACTCATCAATTTTTTGACGTTTGCGTATACACTTTAAAATCGTGTATACATAAATAGTTCGTATTCCGGAGGTCATAATCCTTTCGCTTTTCTCTTTACGTCGCTACGCCATTTCAATAATATATGTTTTATGACTGTTCCCGTTGAATGACATTACGTCCAACCCGATAACTTTAATAATCATACCCACACGAGCCCGTAAATATTTCTCATACATGCGACTGTTTGATAGGGTGGATAAATATTATATTGCATTATAGACTGTGCCCGTGTAATTAATGAAAATACGTTCCTATCTGACCGGTCGAATTCACAGCGGTAGAGACCATGTAGGGTCAAAGTAAGAAATTATAAATATATATGTATATATATTATGCATATAAAGACAAATTAAGGTTATTCGTAGATAATAGATACGGTTTGAAACGATAAATCATTGCAAACAAAAAAAAACGATTATAAGTTTGTAATTTCAAAATAAATTAAATTTTTTGTGTTCTAAAACTCAATAATCAAGTCTAGAAATGGTCGTAGAACTAGTATTTCGTTGACTAGAATTTGTTTCATGTACTTTAAATTATGAACAAGAAAGTTTTTTGATTTTTAAGCGATTTTTCTAATTTTTCGGAGCAGTTTGAAACATTATATGATATTATTATATTATATTATATGATGTAATATATACTATCAATGTAAAAACATTAAATTTCCTGTTTAATAATCTGTTAGAGCAATAAAATCGGCTTTATAGTATAACTTTTAAAATCATTTATGGTATAAATTAAATCAAAATGATCAAAAATAAACATATTATTAGTGCACCTACTTGGAATTTTTAGAGCTTTAAGTATTTTATTAAGGTAATTTTTTGGAGTTTTTAAGACATTAAATTCCTAGCACTATGTAATAAAAGTATTGATCAAACATTTGAAGGCTCTATAATAATTTTTCACCGAATTACAAATTTAAAATGTCTTAAAATTGGGTTTTTTCTGATATCTCCCGACACCCCCCCCCTCTGAGGAAAATTCTCATTGAGAAAATAACAAGGAAAATCAAATAATTATGTACACCCAAATGCATCAACTCGACAGCCGCAAACGATCTTTGACAATTGGAGCAAGCGTTATGTTCAAAAACTTGTCGACAGACAGAAAATAAAATCACGCATCATAGTAAAACGTGTCTATATTCCTCGCTTCACCTCAGAACCTAATATATTAAAATGCAAAATAATATATGATATTCTAATATAGACACTATATCACCGTATATAACGGACTAGGCACATTATAAGTAGTATTACATTAAACGCACGCTCAATAGTATAGCAGACACGTCAAATACGAAAAAAAGCTATTCATTTTGGGTTTTGAAAAATGGAATGTTTTCTTTCGTTTGACACGAAAACATCGTCTTACAAAATATTTCGATATTCTTTATCAGCTTCGAACCCGATCGATATACAATAATATAATTATCACTGTATTCAATGCGATCTACACATATTTGTGCTACGTTCCATAATATAACAAACATTAGCAATACTAATAACTTAAAATTGAATTGCCTGTATATGTATTTGTCCGAGCTTATCCCGAAAACGGCCGAACCGATTTCGATGCGAGTTTCACTTCGGTGTCGAGTATATTCTCACACATAATTTTACCTACTTTTATTCTGGAATTCGATCCCGGGCTTGTTTCTTTGTCATTTTCATTTTGTTATCAATCAATATTTAAGGCGCACCATAGTACAACGAGACATCCAATATGCTTGAATAGTTATATCAGGAGAACCTGGTAAGGGTACTCTACGGGACGGCCATTTAAATGGATAGTATAATATTATTGTCGTTCAATACTGAACACGGGCGAGGCCGTACGGAATAGCTGATTAAAAAGTAGACGGGTGGCAATTTTACAATTGTAAAAAAATACGTGGCCACACACGTACACATGGCCATATGCATACACACACGACTATACACGCACACGTACGCGAGCGTGTATGGGTTTGTTTTTTGCTGCTTTTGGGAAAACAACGCGTTCCGATGCCGTTACGTACGGTTAATCATTTATTCAGGCTTTCACAAATTCAATAAACGACGGTATCATTCCGGAGGAATGGTATTGACATTAAGTATATTTCTACAATAAATACCTACCGGTTATAATATAAAGAAGCGTTGGCGGGTTGTTTTTCTACACAGATTTCCTTCCATACCAAACCTAATCGAGACAAACAATATAATATAACAATTATTCGTTGAGGTGACAGACGCCGACGACGACGGTTGCCGCTAAGTACAGGCAAACTCGACAGGCCAACGGACCGTTTGAATTCATTCGTCAATATACAATTTTAAGTCATTAATTAACCCCATATTAATAATTCAGTTACCTGCAACATCCACTTCAGTCACAGAAAATGTCGTTTTCAACAATGGGCGCTAACGCACAATACGGAGCATTATAAACAGAACATTGGCAATATGAAATTAATATCCTTAGCGCGAATAGATAATTCTTTTTATCTTCGAAACTTGTAGTCTCAATTCCAGATCGTTGTTTTGAAAATCTATGACTACCACGAGTACCGCGATAGACCAGCTTGACCTGTCGTTTGCAAAATATGAAATCAGCTGGTTTACACAAACTATGGCTTTTATTTTTATTTTTCCCTTTATTCTTCTTCTTTTAATTGACTTTTATCCCATGCAATTGGGATCAACTATATAAACTTTATTTGCTAATTTTGTAGTTTTGATAGTTCTGCCTTTAGTCTATTCGATTCTTTAATGCGTACCTACTTACTCTAATTCATACTAAACATTTTATATACATGTGTATTGACAAATCTATTATATGTTTTTTTCGATTTGTGTTTTTTGTAGCACTTCGTAAAAATTTACTCAACATTTAATGTAAGTTTCATCATAAGTTGTACTTAGTAGTAAAAAGAAAAAATGAGCGTAATGTTATTCTTTTTTAATAAGAGTTTCAAATTCAAACTTACAGTTTTTACTATACATTTTTTTTAAAAACTAAAACAATATTAGAATTTATTTTATAATTGTAAATGAATAAATCGTTTTCTATAAATTTCTGAAATAATGTTTAACACGTTGCTAGATAGTTGCTAATATTGCTGCCATAGTAGAAACATTAAAATTTTATGTCAGGGGTCACTTATAAATATTACTGCTATAGCAGTAGTATAGCCATCCGAAAATTGACATAACTGTTATAGCAGTAATATTTGCAACGGTCTCTTATAAACAAAATTGCCCTATGTTTTGGTGCTGGTTATTTTTGAAGTTGAAGAACTTAATTAGGATTGATCCGACATTTTTTTCAACACACTTAAAAATAGGCGTACAAAATTTTAGCTCGGTTAAATATGTTTAACAAGTGTAGTCTAAATTTTCCCATCTACAACAGTGGCGCACTCATTAGCAGTATCGGCTCTATTTTTTTTTTTTTGTGTTGTTCTTTAACGCCAGACGAACATGATCTCTTAAGAAAACCGACAACGACGACGGTGTAATAAGAGTAGCCCTAAATATAATACAGAACGCATGATGTCGTAGGTAGTATAATATTATATTAATGATAAAACAAAATTATTATTTCGGCTCACCCACAACAAAGACTTTCGGTTCGAGGCCGTGGAGTACTCTTACTTCACTATATACGTTGAAGTATATAATAGTGTGGGTACTCGACAAATATTTTTTGACCGTCGTCGGGTTAAGTATACGTATCGTGTTTATATATATAAATTTTAGTAATATAATACACATTATCTAAAAGCCTAAATCCACCGTTCACATCTTCTCTGCCATATAGTATTATAGAAGTCTCGGTTTCGAATTTAAAGAACTAAAAGCAAAAAAGAAAAACAACATTTTAAAGTTTCTATAGTGTTTATAAGATACGGACCATTTAAATAGTGCAATGTAAGTATCTATTAAAAAAAAAAAAAAAAAAACAGAAAAAAAAAAAAAAAAAAACAGAAGAAATAATAAAATAAAGTACATTATAAAATATGCAGCCGAGTCATCTGTTTTTGATTGCTCCGCGCATCGGACCTTTCTAAATACCAACCTGACGAACGATCGTATTATTCACGTAAATGATAATCAGATAATCACATGTATATTATGTATACATAATAGTGTATACTTACGTTTTCGATATAATATTTACCGGACCTTAACGCCGAGCACAAAGGACGTTTCAAAAATACGAAAGGTCGGCCATTGTATAAATTTGTCCCAATACCGATGATGGTACTCGTGTCTATATGCTTACGAGGTAATCGCCCGGAAATCGATATTGTCCTAATAATACCGTGCCCATACGAAGGGTACGTACTCGGATTATTTTTCTCGACATTTTACGCTGTACAGATTACACACCCGTTTAGTCGAATTGTATACGCTTTTATAGCAGTTATTAATCGTGATGCATGCACAGCGATAGTTAATTAGACGGAAGGTTTTTTTTTGGTTTCTAAGTGGAGCGAAGAAGCTTATGGTTTCACACAAATTTTTATTTGCATTTTTTTTTTTCTGTGGACAACTTTTATACCAGCAATTTTGTTCTAACTTATAATGATAATAATTTTTTTAAAAGAAAATTTCACTGGAATGTACTTTAGAGAGGTTATTATTCGATTTTATCAAAAGATTTTCTAGAAAATGTGAAAAACTGGGAAAAACGGGAAAATCGGTACCTACGATAAACAAATATTTTCACAGATAAACATATAACGAATATTTAATTATTTTACCATAATATGACATAAATATAGTATTGACAAAGCATCACTATCAACTGAACTCCGCTCAGAATCGTTTTTTCGTTAACAATAGTTAAACATTGTTAACAGATATACATTAAATTGCCTATTACAGAGGCTGTACCCATCTCCATTATCCTAAGATGTCTTTTTTTAAATATTTCGATAAGATTAAAAATTTGATTAATAAAATAACATTAGACTTTTCAGTGGTAGCTACGTCCGTTTAGGAAAAAAACAAATTTCATCTATAATTCCACCTATGCCCACTGATAATCCGTTCGGAAATAACTAAAAATTAACCCCGAATTAAACCACCGCGCAGCGATCGAAACACTAAATTTCACCTAGATAATATTTACTATTTGAACCGTTCACTCGTAAGGATAAATCCGGTTTTGAAGGAGGCGAATTCTTCGTTTATTCTATATTATTTGTGTTTGATGTTTGGAATCAAATATAGACGTGCGAGAACCGCCAAACGTGGTCCAGGAGTACATAATATTATATTTAGCCATGCAAGACACATACATCTCTAATCTGTATAGTCACTGGGGGTGTGGTATACCCTTAAAATTGTATAGTCGAACCCGCCTCTAGGCTCGGGACCACCTATTCTCCTTCGAAAATATATTGCGAATCTCGGATTTGTGTTATTATTATTATTGTTTATTAAAAAATAACCATCGGCCACATGGGCGCATTAGGTATTCCACGGTGCAGAGTGAGGAATTTTCGCTACGATGTTTATACATTGCATCAGCGGTCGGCAACCCACGGCCCGCGAAGCAATTTTTATGGCCCGCAAAATGATATTAAATTTTCGTCATGGTTCAATAATATCAATAATCAAGTTCCATTAACATAATAAAGTATAGTATATTGTATGGAATTGATAATATCATCAGTGTAATTATAAATATTGTGAAGCACAGAAAAAAATAAATAAAACTATTTACTTTTTACTTTTCACGACTTAATGATGAGCATTTACACGCGGCTGTATTACGAATGTCGACCACAAGTTTTCAAGCGAGTAATTAAATGTACTAATTTTTAATTTATTAGAATTTTAAACATGTCAATTCCATGAAGTTAGAATAGTTAGAAATGACTAATAAATTACTCATGAAAATCTTTAATGCCAATTATGTATTTATTTATTTATGTATCTATGTATTTTCAAAAGAAAATGAACTGATGATATTTTCAAATTAAGAGTATAAAAAAAATGATTTTGGACTGTATTAGGTATTCATAGAAACAATTTAAAAACAAAAAAATAAATAGCGCTTTTAGTATAGAGTTACATTTTTAGGGAATGCGTTCTTTTTAAAAAGAACATTGTTAACACTGCGTTAAACGTTTAAAAGAATAAATTGAATATTGTTAAAATTTCATATTACGTTGAACACTAAATTGCTAAACACAATAACGTTTGAATTTTTTAATTTCTTTTTGATTAACGGTAAACAATATTTTTGTTATTCATTTAAACCCGAGTTTTTTAAATTTTATATACCAATATTATAGATTGTTGATTAGTACTTAATTAAATACCTAAAACAACGATAAACCGTCACAAACGAAAAAATGGATTAGTATTAGTCGTGCTTTTGTCCTTTGTATGTAATTAACCTAAAGAAAATTAAACGACAAAGAATTTTTCCTAACCCGTAAGTTTTTCCGAAAAATAAAAGAAAGAAAACCATCTTTGTAAACTAATACAACTTTCTCACTACCCTCGGAATTTAAAATAGTGTAATTTTGGTAACATATAAGTTTATAATAGTTAATAAGAAAACAGCTATTTTCTCGTGCGAGATTTCGGCATAAAAGAAACGATAGGTAGTACCTAGAGAATGTTTTCAAATGTATTTCAATATTTCAGATAAAATTGAAAACGGCCATTCGGGAATAGGGACATTTCCTCGTAGTTCACAGAATTATATTTATAATTACGTATTTTCTTTTAAGTACGGCCCCGAGGGACTGACCCAGCAAAACCGTCACCACAGAAAATGTACATAGGAGTAGGCACTTAAAACACGTTAATTAAAATTAAAATATGTTTTTTTCCGGACATATCCTCGCGTATACGTTTAGGTACACGGTAACAAGACGCCGCTGCCAGGTATTCTCAATGGACATATGGTATTACGGTACAATGTTACGGCTCAAACTCGGCAACAGATCACAGAATAAAGTAGAACAATTATAGGCATTAGCTAGGTAACGCGCTTTTTTGAGAACACATTGGTAAGCTCGCCAATCCGTCCGTTGTATTCGAAATCCATAGAAGAATAGAACAAACAAAAATAGGCATATATAAAATATACATGCAGTATAATATATTGTATTCAAAATTTAAACACGTTTATTTCTGAACTCGGTTTCCTAATTTTAATATCGTAAATTTGTAATCCTTTCTGTCTAACGGATTGTCGTCCATGCTCCACAGCCGTATTTTAGGGTCGGATTTGTGACCGATACAAATAAAATCTTAGGTATTACAGACTTTCCGGAGAGTAGCAATGACGTTTATAATGTTTTATCTGTCTTTTTCTAATACAAACGGCCATTTCTCTGTCTCGACCATTATTCGGGCTTAATGTTGTACTTACCTAGATACTTGAAGTCTTTTACTGTTTCTATAGATTAACAATCAAGCCTTCCGAGATCTACAACAGTTTATGCATTTAATTCTATTGTTCTGGTTCCGTCGGCGTCGGTTCAGAGGTTTTGTATTTTAAATTCCAATAGAAATATTCAATATCAAAATTTCAGCAGTCGACATCAGACATTTGTTTAAAAACAAAAAATAAATCGCGTTGTTTCACTCTGTCGTGATTTATTCGCATAATATATTATGCATAATGTAATATTGTCGAAGTTATATACCCTATTTATGTATTTATATATTACATATATAGTTAAATATAATACGCGTTTAATTAACACGGCGTCTGAAAATAAAACATATTCGGCGGCCGGCGATTTTTCCGTAGGCATCTATTTGTACCGAAAACATTTTCCACTAATGGCCGTTAATTGGATCGGCGTTTCGGGGGGGGGGGGGACGGGGGGACAGCGCGGAAACCGTTCGAATAAAACCGGCGGCGGCGTGCAAAGTGCACTTAAATTCTAACGGTTTTAAAATGCATAATGGTATATTTCCAATAAAACACATAGGTGTGTACGAAACAAGCAGGTGTCCGAAACGGTTATTGTTGTTCCGAATGCTATCAATTTATTCGTTTAAATACGATAATAATATTACCTATAATCGTGCAGCATTGTTATTATCATGTAGCATTGGCCTCATATCCACTATAATACAGGTTGTATTACTATTGTTACTATTATTATATCGGGTAACCAGAATATCGTACGAGTCGTAAATTTTGGTAATTTTAACGGCACGAACGTGCGGCTATTGTTGTGCGCCGGCGAAATAATGTCAACTATAGCGCAAAATTGAATTTATAAAACCGGACGTTATAATAAAATGCATATATACGTGTACAAAAAAATATGCATATATTTACAAAACCATCACACTCGCGGTACTCTAATCCGAGGTTTCATTTTTCTATTCTATAATGTTATTCACCCGTTGAACACTGTAACAGACAATAGTATTTCGGTTCGTTTCGGAATATCGTTTGAACTTAATGATTTTATTTTTTATTTTTTTTTTCATCGTGATGCGGTCGTTTTTTCGAAGGATTTTGAGTAATTATATGATTTCTGTTTTTTCTTTTCTTTTCGATCGTTACGAAATCGATTGATTATTTACACCCGGTTACTCTTTATATCTTACGAACCGGTGTTAAATTTTGATTTTTAATTTTGAAAACACCATTTTTTCAACACAAATAAATGAATATGTTTCTAAAAATGTTGATTATTTTACAATGACTGAAAAAACCCAAAATCAATTTCGCTTAAAATCTAGTAGATAATAAGACGGATCGCGAAAAAAAAATCACTTTGTATAGTAATTTCAGTGCTTCTTCGACCAAACCGATTATATTTCTTTCTTTTAAATTTAAATCGATTAAAAGAAATCATATATTTTTGCTTTTTTTTAAATTGTCTGTAATAATAATTATACAAGACAGAAGCCATTTTAGATATTTTTTTTTTTTTTTTTTTTCATAAGGAATTATTGTTTTTATTAAAATCGCTTTTTTTATTTTAATTAAAAACATAAGTTTTCTTTAAATTATATCTACGTATTATGAAAAGTGATAAATAATATAGTCGTCAATAACACTCATTGTTTAAGTTAATTAAAATACAGACTAATATAAATTTTAAATCACTATTTTAAATTTATATTACAAAAATTAATTGAACTTTAATTTAAATAATTAAGGAAACATCAAATAGAATACAGTTTTGCGTTTCCTGTTGTATTTGACCAGTTTTATGTTGTTTTTATTATCGATATTTTTAATGCAAGACTCAAAAGTCGATAATTTTCTTCGACTTTATATAAATGTTAATGATAACGTGGCGTCTAATTTAAATCGAATTCGCTACTATCGTTATAATGTGTAAGGATATTATAGGACTCGGTAAAAACCAATGCAATAATCCTTGGTTTACTGTTTAACTGGAAATTCGGTCGTTTAAAACGAATAAAAAAATCGCGTCGGTTTTACTACAATAGTTTACAATTTGAAATGTGTATACTTTACTATTAATTTACTCGTTTAACTAAGCAATTTCCCGATTGATATTCCGAGATGGCATCAATAAATTCGCCGTCCTATTTATTGAAACCTTGAAGAAATTCAACAAAGTATCAAAGTTCTGATCCTGCGCATCAATTTTGTATTTTTTGAAAATACGTTTACGTTGCGCTTTCTATTTATACATAACAAAAAAAAAAAAAACCGAATTTATTTTTCACAATAGGCAGGCTACTGTTGGCAAGCCGGGAAGGTATAGGATTAATAGGTCATTTGAGTCTAAATACTTAAACAATGATAAATCAAAGCGATCGAAACACTATTATAATCAGAGTTCGGTAAAGTGGCAAGGTCATAGTGTAGGTTATAGTGTAAGTGGTGATTCCTTCCCACTTATCGCGGAAAATCCGCATATTTTCAGGCACAATCGAAGATGCATTTTTAGTAACCAAAAAAAGTGTTTAGAAAAAAAAAAAAAAAATGAATCTTAGCATTACTGAAACTATAACGCCTTGTTTATAGGTTAGTTAAGAGGACGTTATATCCGCATGTGTTGTCTCAGTCCAACTGACGGACAGTATGGCAAAATAACAGACTGCGCAGAACTGCGCTCGATTTCGGTTTTAGAGAAAAGCACCAGTATTATGAAACTAAAATAAGACATTATGGGATATTTCAGGGTACACGCAGTTTTTGTCGTATGATACGCTTTTTCGGACCGTGAAACACACTTATTTTAATAATATTAATTGTTATAGTTTAGACGGTGTATATTATTAAATTTACCGAAAACGATGCGGCGCACAACACAGACATTCCTACATATATTAAATAATAGC